AGTGAGTTGACTGAGCTAATTGTTTACTTAATTACTTACGGTTGGTACGTAAAGCCTGTCTTCCTGTCCAGAAGCTAAGTTTCACCAGGACACACTGTTCCTATTTTGTTCACCACTGTATGCTCAATGACAGAACTCAAGCCTGCCCTGCAGAAGACCCAAGTGTGATTATTGAGTGATGCACCTCATGCAAAGCCATTACCTGTTTATCAGTGGAGGCTTGTGTGGTTCTCTGAGTTACAGTAGAGATTCTAGACTAAAGCAGACTAGGAAGAAAGGCCTGGAGATCTAATTTTTAACATCAGCCAATAAAAACCCTAAGACCAAAGTAGTGCAATCTGTGATCATGGGGATGGTACAGGATCAGGCAGCACTTGGCTCTGCTGTGCTGTGGGTAACATGAGTCAGAGGCCAGCTCAACAGTAACTAGCAGCGCATCTTCAGTGCCCGCTATTCTGTCCAGACATGGGCAGTGTTTGTTGACTGGCTGACAGTCTAGACGGACTTACTCTTGTAAGGCAGATGCTGCAAAAATATTTGCTTCGCTACCACCTTTATGGCACCAGCATGTACCACATATACAACTTGTATTGTGAGGGGAAGTCAGAAACTTGCTGCCAGACTGCTGTCTCATCCCACAGCAGGGCTGGGCCTGCTCCCTGCTGCTGGAGACAATAGACTACCTCTCTCTGGAGCCTAAAGCCATTAGCTTGGTTCCTGTAGGAGGGGTTTGCACCCTACTGATAATGTTCCTATGGAGACCCAGAGACCACCCTCTCATTGCTGTGTAGCCTATAGTGCAACCCCTTCCTGTGACGTATGTCTCTACCTATAATTAGTGGGCTGGCATGCCCCCAAAAGGTATATAGGCATGGGTCAGCAATATAGGCGGGGACTTCTCTCTCGGACTCTGACCTCCCTGACTCTTCCCCCTCTCCCTTGTTCCCTTACCCTCCTTCCCTCCCCCCTCTCTCCACGTGGACCACCAAGCTGGGCTGAGGTGAGCAATGTTGCTATGTAACATGCCTGACTGTATTATTGTATTATCTCTCGTGCTCTCGATGACTTTAATATAATACTTACATATCTCAACCGTACAATTGTGCATTACTGAACCCAGAGGTAGTATTACTGAATCTGAGTAGTAGTAATAGTAGTAGCAGCGGGTGGGGGCTGGTCCCCTCACCCTCCCTCTGCGTCATTATTTTTTTATTTAATACTACATTGCATTGTAACTAAAAACCAGGAACTGAACCCAGAGGCTAAATGCCATGGTCATGGTCATGGTCATGGTCATGGTCATGCCTTGGTTTCATCACTTCTTATCTTTAGGATCTGGGGCAAGTCATAGAAGTTCTCTTACTTTCGTTTCCTCATCTACTGAATGGGTACAATAACAGCACTGCCCTCATGGGGCTGTTCTAAAGAGAGAATGGAAGATCTGCTATCAGCATTCCTTAGATCAACATACCATAGTATGCTCTTCACTCACCCCTCTGTGACTGTGTTAGTTCACTTAATATAGTGAGAAAAACTCCCCTTACAAAATGCAGTTAGCCAAAGGCACTTTACTGAATGTAGTCTCTATGAAAATGTTACAACTCCGTTGCTTAAAAGCAGACAGGTCCCCAATAAAAATAAAAATAAAAAAGCAACACACGTTGGATGTGAATGTCACCTTAAGAGGGCCTTCTCCTGTTCACCTGACGGGTAGTGATTAAAAGCTAGGCTCTGCTAACAAAGACATCCTGAGGCCCAGGGAAGACTTACACACCCTTACTCTTCTGTTTGTTCATGGTCAACAGTTTCCTGAGGGGTTGCCCTGAAACCTGAGTGAATGCAAAGCATGATCCCCCAAAAGGTACATTCCAAAGCCAAAGGTCTTCTCTATGGATTCTGATTTCAAACAGGACCCTCTGAAGACAGTCTGGTAGCACTGCTGTGTGTGGTTTCCTCGCCCGGGATACCTTCTCAATAAAACTTTCTCTTTCTTCCTATGGAAAGGGTAAATGGGCTGCACTGCTTCCGGGTAAATAACTGCAATTAAATTCTCTTTGCCAAATGAAGTGCAAACCCTCCAGTTAATTCTATCAAGCCCACACTCTTACATAGTTTGCAAAGTCCTTTCCGACCCCACTTCTGCATACTCCTTAATCGTTCCTCCTCCAACGATCCACCAGTTTGCTTTCTTTCACCTCCATGGTACATGCTGTTCCCTCTGCTTGGCTCACACTTCTATCCTGCCTTGCTGTAGGTCTCGGCTAAGCCATCACCTCCCCCAGCAAGGTGGGATGCCATTCCTCCGCTTGCTGGTGGCTCCATGTTCTGCTTCGGGCACTCGTCACTCCTACCTGTGAATTGCTGTGTCCTGCTCTGCATCCTCCAATGGCAAAGTCTGCCTCTGCGTGGGTGATCACCATTTCTCCCGAGCTTAGTACATGCTCAGTAAATATCTTTGTCATCAGTAAGTGAGTAACTGAATAGAGAAAGTCAAGTTCTGTCAAATCACAAGGGAACAAATGGATGAGAAAAGTTCTTTTTTTCTTTTCAGTACATCATGGATATAGAAAAACTTACATGTTTATTTTAAAAATATTTAGTTGAACATAATAATTAGGGTCTCCCTTCACACTTTCTTCCCGCACCTAAACAACCACCATGGAACACAAGATTTAACTCAGTATAAGATCGGCCCTTAAGTCTTTTGTTAATTTGATTCAATACATGAAGCTTTTGCATGTTATATTCTAAGTGACCTTTTTTAAAAAAAAAAAAGTTTAAATGAGCATCTAACGCTATATCTGTGTTGGCTAGAGCACTTTTAAAAACTTGGTTGTTTATCCAAGAAGTATGTATTGTCTTTACATCCCATGCTAGGGCAGGGAGTAGAGAAGGAAAGTTAAGTCTCTGCTGCCCAACCCCTACTATCCAGGTGAGGAGACAAGTTTGCCATCATGAAAAGCACAGATGCAGAGCAATGTAAGGTACATCAGTCACATTTTAATGCTTCAGCAGTTCTGAGAAACAATTAGTGCACCTATTTGTATAATTGATCCCCATTGACAGCTGAGAGAAACTGGCTTGGAGATTAAATGATTTGCCAACTAACACAGGTAGGTAGTGATAGACCAAGAACTTGGCCTAGGTTTGTCAAGTTCCAAATCTAGGTTGTGTCCTAGTGGACCACACACTTTCCATATGTAAGGCTCCAGGACTCTAGAGCCAGGTGAAAGGCAGGGCCAGGTAACATTGAGTTCTTCCTCACTCGGGCCCAGAGGCAGAGCCAGCCCGTGGGCTTAAGGAGTACTCGGTGAAATGTCCAGTTGGTGCCTGATTTCCTGACAGATGTGGACCATCTCTATCCAAGAAATTTACTGGCGGAGAATAATGTTTTATGTCTCTTGGTTGAAAAGGAAAAGCAACCTATTTCAAGAAGTTTTCATCTTCATATGTGAACTTACAAGTGACTATGTAGCAAGGCATGGGAGTTTGGGCTTTGTGCTCAACGTTTTGCTTTACATCAAATGAAAGATATCCAGGTCCACCTGAAGAAGAAGAAATTAGTATGAAGGGGACCATTAGTTTGTTTACCCAGCATAAAATTAGGTCCTCTGTAAACGGGAATATCAAATAGCATAAAAAGGCTATGCGATTTACATTTTCCTTTTGATTGGAGGATTGCATCTGCTACATTCAAGGAAGGAAACTCTCTCCCAGTTAGCTTTTGAAGATCAAAGAGGCCATTAAATATGCCATATTACCTGCATTTGTTCCCTTTTTTGGTTAAGGCTGGGGGTACTTTACAAGTTGAAATTGCCTTGGGAAAGGGAGAGGACTTTATTTTGGGTCATATGTAGATTATGGAGTAGTTTACTTCCCTCGGGCAACACCATCTTCTTAACCATTTGTTCGAATTGGGCTGTCCTAAAGCCTAAGGTACACGTCGGCCTGTCTGCTGAGCTTTATGTGCATAGATGTGATGACCACGAAAGTATAAACTAAGATTCTAAGCCTCAGTGATATTTCGATAGTTCATTTGATAAATCTCCAAAGACAAAGGAAGTCAAGAGGAACACCTTTCAATGCTTGCGTGTATGTAGGCTTCAGTTGAGAAAAGAACATGAGCACACGTTGTCTAGTGATCATCTTACAAGTCTTTATTTCCCTAACCATTGAAGTAGCCAAAATGTATCTGTTACCAGATTGAGAGAAATCCAATTTGACCATCACCAGGTGAAACCCCGGGCTGTGGTTGGTGTAGCTTAATAAGAGCAGGAGCTCTGGTGACGTAGTGGTTGTATGCTGGGATATATTGGGCCACTACCTCGAAGGTCAGCAGTTCAAAACCCACCAGCCTCTCTGCTGGAGGAAGACGGGGTTTCTGCTCCCATAAATGGTTCCCGTCGCAGACCCTCCGAGGGACAGTTTTATTCTGTGCTCAGGCATCGACACGATGGCAGTGAGTTTGGTTTTTATTTATTAGGAAGAGCATTCCTTTTATCACAGTGATTTGCTGGTTTAGTACTATAAAATATTGCTTTTCAGTTATTTTCTGGCATTTAGAAATTAACTTTCTCCCATTATTATCCATTATTTTAAAGAGCTTGGATAAATAACATTTTTTTGCCATTGTGTGTAATGTATAGGCCTTACTTAAGCCTGGGCTATATCTTTATCACATAGCTAAACCAGCCAGTTGCCTTTAAGTCAACTGGATTCACGGAGATCCCATAACTTCACGAGTAGAACTGGGTTTTCAGTGGCTGTTGTTTTTTTTTTTTAAAGTAGACCCCAAGCCTTTCTTTCAAGGCACCTCTGGGCAGCCTTGAGCCAATTAGCATGCAAACATATTAATCATTGCATGGCCCAGGAACTCTAACATATGGATAATAAAAGGAAAATTAGAGGAGGAAGATCGAGATTGATTTAAAATAAAATGACTAAATTGAATATGAAGAGTTCTGATTAAGTACTTGACATTTCTTTTCTGCTTTGGGCAGCCAACAGCCAGGAAGTGACAAATACTCAGACCTGCGTTATGACCCTAACTGGAAGAATAAGAACGAGGAAGGGCAGCTGTTGACCGTGGAAGCGGTGCTAGAGTCCCTAGACAGCTCTACAGAAAACCTGACAGTGGACCCACTCTATCCTTCCAAAGAGACCTCCGTGGAACCCACCGTGGAGAAAGACGAGCAGAAGCGCCCCCAAAGTGAAGCTTCCCTACTTGGTAGTGAATTTGTCAGTCCAGACTACCAGAACGGTGCCGTTCGCAGCCAGCCCTTTTCCGAGCTGACTGACAGTGAGCAGGAGAAGTCGAGTAACCTCTCCCAGTACCTACGGAGCTCACGTTCACATCATGAGGTCTTCCTGCCGGGATCGCGTGGCCCTCGGCCAAGGAAGTCCAAGCAGTACTATTTTGTGGAAAAAAACAAGTTGACTTTGGGATTACCCACTCCTAAAACTGACTCTTACCTTCAACTTCATAATAAAAGAAGAGGGGAGACTCGCCTAGAACAGGTATGTAGCATCTACTTAAAGATAGTCTCTGAAGCTCTAACCTGGAAGGTGTGTTTGTCTGAAACCGTCACTGATGCCACCATAACCAGAGTAAAACAGATGCCACCCTATGCATTGCCCCTCTTTGGAGAATAAGTGGAATCATTCCACTAATTCTTAAGAGCAACAAAAAAGCCACGGGGGGTGTAAGTGCTGTAATTCTTGTAATTCAACTCTAATATCCAAAATTCCTCCATTCAAAGAAATCTAGATTTTTCTTAAACCATGCATTCTAATAGATAAAATCCAGGTTGAGTCTTTGAAGCTTTGTATTGCTGATATGTCCAGTAAGAGGGTAAATAAGAAATATTGCTATAAGATCACAGCAACCTTTGTGAATGACAGATATCAAAATGTGAAATTATTGTGTCTCATTTTGGACCTAGTGAGACCAGGACAAGTGCATTCATAGGATCATTGTCTGCAGCCATGCCCTGATCACGGAGACATTTTTGAACAGATTTTGTATGAACTGGAATCACCCGCCCCCGCCCCCAGAAGCAAGACTTTTTGACTCACCCTCTAGTATAGCACCAATTCTCAACCTCTAGTACTCTGTCAGTGGGATGAACCTCATATCAATAATGGTGACTCACACATAGATGTTAGCCCCAGCTTCTATTCCACGTTGAGAATTTCAGAATTTTGATGGGGGTTGGAAGAGTATGGTATATAATAGAGTGTATTTTGAAAGTTCAACCAACTAAGCCACCCATTGCTATGGTACCAATTCAGACTCATAGTAACCCTTTAGGACGGAGTAAAACTGCCAAAGAGGATTTCCAGTGCTGTGATCTTCCTGGGAAGCAGACTTCCACATCTTTCTCCCAAGCAGCTCCGTGGCAACTGCTGACTTTTTGGATGGCAGCCGAGTGAGCCACCAGCTCCTTAAAATTCTCCAAGCAATTCTTCTCCCCTCTCAAGCCCTCACTGATAATCACAACACTGCCCTGGTGTGATGTAATTAAGCCTTGTGCTTCTCTATGTTAATTTAGGATAATAATCATGCCCCCTCAGATTCATCCTATCATTTTAAGGATAAATTCTGACCTAGATGATGGATCCAAAACCTCTTGGAGTCATTCAACTTAGCTCTATTTCGTGAAGGTACATAAAGATTATAGCAGCTCCAGGACACAAGAAAATAGTATGACTGGACTGGAAAACAACGAAGTCCGTCGCCTGCTAAAGTGGCAATCTTTCCAATCAGAAAGAAAGACTGCTACAGTAAATATGAATGCTCAGCGATTTATTTCAAACCCAAATTGCTATCCTCTAAAAAGTTCTAACTTGTGTTTTCTGACAGTACAAGAGTGATGAGATGGCTGAATATACTATTTTTCTTGATTCAGAATGTGCCTTGTAGTTTAAAGCAGTTTCCCAAAGGGGGTGATACCACCTGCTGGAGGGCACTAAAATGATCCAGGAGCTGCAAGAGCAATACCCACACTTTAACCTGAATTATGGGCTATAATACAAAAGTTTTGTAATTATTTTTTCTGAAAAGGAGTAAGCCAAATAAGTTTGGGGACCTGTGGCTTAAAGGATTATATTGCACCTTTGCTTTTTTAACTAAAAATAAATCAAAGGACTGAATGTTGTGCTAAATTATCAAAACAGACACATAAACAAAACAGAGTTTTCAAGGTTATGGACTCAATTCAGACATTAATGCATCTTTCATTCCACAAAAGTTATGACATTTTGAATTTTGTTTGATCATTTAAAATATGAATAAATACAACAGTCAAGTTATCTGTAGAAAACATTTATAGCAAGTAGTTTCTCCTAGACTAGGATGATATTTTTGTTATTTAAAAAAATTTCTTCCTAAATTAATCCATCTAAGAAGAGGGGCAAATAGGTCAAAAGAATGTCCAGTGTCATCCCCTTACAGAAGGGTCGTGGGGAGGAGACCCAGGATACAGTATAGCAACAATGAAACATACAACTTTCCTCTAGTTCTTTAATGCTTCCTCCCCCTGCCCCTGCCCCACTATCATGATCCCAATTTTACCTTACAAATCTGGCTAGACCAGAAGATGTACACTGGTACAGATAGGAACTGGAAACACAGGGAATCCAGGGCAGATGATCCCCTCAGGACCAGTGCTGAGAGTGGCTATACTGGGAGGGTGGAGTGGAAAGGTGGAACTGATTACAAGGATCTACATATAACCTCCTCCCTGGGGAATAGACAACAGAAAAGTGGGTTAAGGGAGGCATCAGTGTAAGACATGACAAAATAATAATAATTTATAAGTTATCAAGGGTTCGTGAGGGAGAGGGGGTTGGGGACGGAGGGGGAAAATTGAGGAGCAGATACCAAGGGCTCAAGTAGAAAGCAAATGTTTTGAGAATGATGATGGCAACAAATGTACAAATGTGCTTGACACAATGGATGGATGGATGGATTGTGATGAGTTGTATGAGACCGCAATAAAATGATTTTTTTTTCAAAAAAGAATGTTCAGTGATAAAATAATGTCTAATATGAAATGTGCTATAATTTATTTGTAGTTTTTTCATTACTAATATTTCTTAGTAGTTATAACTCCATTTTTCTAAACAACACAGGCTGAATAAACAGTCAAGGAGTCCATAGCACAGTTTTCTTTCAGTTTTAGGACAGAGGACATATTAAAGAATTCTGGGTTTTCTTCTTGCTCTGATTCATAGCGACCCCTGTGGGTTTCAGAGACTGTAACTGTTTACGGGAGTAGAAAGCCCAGTCTTTCTCCTGAGGAGCTGCTGGTGGTCTTGAACTGCCAACCATGCGAATGGCAGCCCAGTGCGTAACCACTCTTGAATTACTCTTAAACAGGCAATTGAACTCTCCTACCACGCTGATGGCACTGTCAGGTAGGGATTACTGCTAATCACAAGGCCAGAAGTTCAAACCCGCCAGGAGAAGGTTGAGGCTATTTGAGCCCAGAAAGATTCACAGCCTCAGAAGCCCTGTACAAGGTGCCATGACTAGGACTACATTCCGTGGCCTTGGGTACCTCTGCCTCCGTGTTCTGATGCCTCTGCACTAATTACGTACTGTTTTCTACATCGTTTCTCCCTCATCGATTTCCTTCCTCTCCTGTTCTTTTCCAACACAGTCAAAACTTTTCAGTGACGAAAGGAAATCTCAGTAGCATAGACTGATTACTTCCTTCTGAATCATTTTTTATAGTAGGGGGCTCAAAATGTTCATGGAAAATTCCATTATCTCTTAATTCCATCTATCCACACACGTTTTGAAATCCTCTCATGGGAAACATCATCAGTGCTTTTCAGCCAATATCAATTATATGTTCCGATGGGCGGGAACTAGGGTTTGTACTTCTTTTTAACCTTCATAGCAACTACTCTACTGCGATTGCTCACTAAACATAAGGGAATGGAGACGCTACCTCTAAACTTTATTTCCTTTTCTATGACTTGAAATATATGTCAGGGAAATGACATTTCTAGAGCAATACTTCACTTCCTAGCTGGATATTGGACTCACCTATGAAGCTAAAAACAGAAAAGTTACTTGGCTCACCCAAACCAATTAAATCTCTGATCATCAGTTTTTACTTTTAAGCTTCCCAAGTTTTAGAACCATTGTTGTAGACTAGCTTGGTGATTTCCAGGCTTGGTTTCATATTGGAATCCCTGGGAGAATTTTTTAAATAATGATTGCTTGGCCCCTGCGATTTTTATTTAATTCATCTGAATTAAATAGAGAGTTTCTTGGTGATTTAAAGTAGTAGTGATTGATCAATTATCAAAATGTTTTAGGGATAAATCTTTGTGGGAGGAAGACAACCTCAAATTTTCCCTGAGGAGCAGCTGATGGGTTGAACCCCCAACCTTGCAGTTAGCCCACTGTCTAAATCACAGGGCTGCCAGGACTCCTTGCCTGGCACATAGCAAGCACTGCGTAAGTGTTAGCAATTAATGCTTTTATTTGTTCCGACACCCATAGGAACCTCTCATAGTTATGTGTGCACTATTTTGAAATTACAGCTGTACATGCTTACTCGTTTCCGCCTTATTTGTATGTGCTTATTTATCTCAACCTTACCTGTGAATATAGAAGAACTGAAAATCACCCAAGTGTCTATATTTGGGGAATAATTAAATGAATATGCCACATCTGTACAAGAAAGCACACTGAAGCTGTTAAAATGTAAATGAGGGCATCAGCAACTATATGGACAACTTATTGAGATTTAGTATTAAGAAAAAACTCAAGTTGTAGAACACTACCCACAATGTGAAAAGTGGGGAAGAATAGAAGTATATATATTTAGATATTGCCTGTTGAAGGATGCATACCCACGGCCATTTGGTCAATTCCAACTCCTGGTAATCCTGCAGGACAGAGTAGGGTCACTCTTTGGGGTCTCTGAGGCTGTAAATCTGCAGAGGAGCAGCATGCTTCCTCTTTCTCCCAAGGAGCTGCCTGTGGGCATGAACCACCGAGCTAGTGGTTAGCAGCCCAGCCTGTCCCCAAGAGCAGCACCAAGGAGACAGCGGTGGTCAGGTACTGGAGGGACAGGGACAGCAGGACAAGAGCAGACTTCTCACTTTATCCCTGTTCACATCTCTTCTTTCTGAGTCATTCTCACTTTATTACCTTGTATAAAAATTGAACTGAAAAATGGCAACATAAAACAAGGGGAAACATTTACAGCAAGCAACATTTTTCTGTAGTCTTTCTAACTTTGCCCCTTACTCCACCTGGCCATCCCCAGTTCTCACAGTGCCCCCTAGATTGCACTTACATTGTGTAGGGGTTTTGTTCTGTTTCCCTCTCAATAGTGGGTCAAGGGAGAAGCTCTCTGAGGAATTTTATATTCAGTTAGTTGCGCCACAAGTTTATTGCCATTGTTTGCAGATTCATTGATTTTGCATTAAAATGCACTACAGAAGCCATCTTTGAATACACAAGATCTTAATCACATGATGTGTGAGGCAAGAAC